TGGTATGTGTTAGACTAACATCAAGGCATCGTCGCGTCCGCAGGGAGTGGGCAACAGAGCATGTGAACTGGAGGAGAAATGAATGGAGCAATGTTCTTTTTTCTGACGAGTCCCGTTTTTTTGTTCATCCTGATAATAGGCGTATTTTCATCTGGAGGGACCGTGGCAGTAGAAATAATCCTGCGTTCGTGCACGAAAGTGTCAGATTTGGCGGTGGGGGAGGGTTGGTGTATGGTGGCATCTCCATTGATGGGCGCACAGACCTCTACATCATTCGAGATGGACCTCTGACTGGTCGTCGATATAGGGATGAGATCCTCAGTCCTAATGTAGTCCCTTACGCTGCAGCAATCGGAGATGACTTCATTTTAATGGACGATAACTGCAGGCCACATCGTGCTAACCTGGTGGAGGATTTCCTTTTCGAGGAAGGAATCGTACGAATGCAATGGCCAGCGTGTTCTTCAGACATGAATCCAATAGAGCACGTTTGGAAAGCTCTAGGAAGACGAGTTACGGGCCGCCAACACCCCCACAAACTCTCCAAGAACTGGAAAGAGCTCTTCTGGAAGAGTGGGAAAGAATACCCCAACTCGTGATTAATAGCCTCATTGGCTCCATGCCTCAAAGGTGTTCAACGTTGCTGACCGTCCGTGGAAACCATACCCCCTACTGAAAATGATTTCCTTTGAAGAAAACACTTTTTCTTATTCTTTTTTTTTCTCATATGCACAAATTGTGTTTTTTCCTTTTGTACACAAATGCGCAATGCATTTTTTTTTTGCCAAACATGTGTAATTTATTCTCATATTACCTACTACGTCTGTCGACCATGTATCAATCAGCTAAAATATTACCCAGCCACAAGATCTACCTAAAACTGCAATATCCTTCAATTGTTCTGAGCAGCGTATTTTCTATGGAAACTCAATTTCCCGTTCACCATTCGTGCTCAACAGTGGACAATAGGTATTTTTTGTATTGAATTGTTTACTCGGCTTTTTGCCACATACTATTATTTTATTGTTATTATGTACATAATAGTATGTTGTCTCATTATTTTCATGGTATGTCTATCGGACCATAATATATTAAATTTTGACTCGTCAGTAAATATAACATTATTTCAATATGCAAATTCTTTACTCACCATTAATTTTGTGAGAACCAGTCTTATTTTCCTTGTTGACTCAGACTTCCCTTCTCGTTGATCGCCCATTGCATCCACGTGCTTTAAAGACTCTATTAACAGTTTCTGTTAACTTTTATCGCAAACGTTTTTTCTAAATCTGCTACACGTTTTACAGTACTAATTTTTGTGTTTTGTTTGATTTTTCGGGAAATAATACTGGTTAACTCGGAATGCAATGCAGATTTTAGTGCATTTTTACAGTTCTACGCAAATTCCATTAATTTTTATAATATCAAATATAATTGCACACTTTATGCAAAAGATGTTTTGAATATTTCGAATACTTTTACGTTCTTTATAATGAAGAATACTTTAATTTCTAAGAGAGTATGGTGTTAGTTTATCAAGTTCTGTTACCAAGCAACTGTTAATATAGTATTTGTTAGACAGGTAAGAATTTCCAAATGCAGACGATAATTTGTTTGATGTATTCGTATTTAAAAGAAACTTCCCAGTGCCTGAATTATTATGTGAGTTATTTTTAGTTACCTTTTGAATAATTGTTTTATTCTAAAAGTACTTTGATGATATTTATTTTGCAACAACCAAGGCTTAAAATTAAATAAAGCTTAATATATCACGAACAAATTAATTATAAAGTCAATTAGAAAAAAAAATGAAATGAACTTTTAATATTTTAGTACAAAATCTCCGTAAATAAATTCGAAACGTAGAGGTGTTCGAAAACATATATGAGCCACTGTACGTAAAACATAATTTGTAAATCAGCACCGAGGAAAAAAAAAGCTCTCGGCTATTGGGAGTCATGTCTTTTAAGGAAAACTGACAAGTGTTCACACTGTACTCGAAAAAAGAAAACCATAAAATAGTGCAGGAGCTTAGCTCATTTGTCAGGATTTAAGTCTGTACCAAATTATCACAAACAAGTTTAATGAGACGACTTTATTAGCAGATTTATTTAGCAGAAGCAGTGCAGTTCAAGCAGCTGTACAAGATAAAGAAGATTGAAGAGTTTGGCTGATAGTCCAAAACTAAGAGTATGTGTTCGATTTTCTGATGAAGCTTAGCTAAAGCTGTGTTGCTTACCTTTTCTCCCTGTTCGCGGGTGTAGTATTTACTGACGTCAATGGGACACTCTGGACATCTTTCTCGATGATAAGATTGCCAAATGATTGAAGATTTTAGCCATTTCTGGCGAATGCTTAGGAGTAAGCGTCTACCAGTGGATTTTAAAAATCATAATCACAAAATATTTTTTTTCTGTTGTAAAGATGTAGTAAAATATTAAAATCATCTATTTGTTAAAAGACACGAAACAGGAACACTCTGTGTTTATAATTCATATGCAATTATAATACATATGTACACTCGTCTGGATAAAAAGTTTTAGGAGTTATAAACAAAATGAGCTCAGTAATTTCTTTTCCTATTATTCTACATGTTACCAGTTACCAATTATTCTACCCTTGTGAAGTCGTACATCGGTTGGCGTGATTTGCAAGATGTTTAATATAGCGTGTTGAAAGTTTTCTGCTGGAATGCCTTTTAGCACCCTCGTCCCGTTTTGTTGGATTTTTTTGATATAGTCGAATGTATAGTCTTTCAGCTTTAATTTCAGTTTGGAAAACAAAAGGAATCTGGTGGCGATATATCCAGTGAATAGGGGGTGTAGCAAAATTAGAAAATAATAGATTTTGAAAGTCAAATCATTTTTTTTCTGAAAAACAAACTAACAGTAGACTTCAAGGTTCAAACTAGTTCCTTACAAAGGAAATTTTCCCTTGAATCAACAGACAAAAAGAAAAGAAACCAGACAAGTCACATGGGAAAGTAACAGATATATCTTGAGAATTTCTGATATTAATACTGTATATTATAGCATGCCCACAAAATTGCCGCTGTGGTCGAACGGCATACGTGAGCAAACGAGAATTACTATATTACATAAATCCTTTCGATATTAATAGTTTGATTTAGTTTCTTCGTTCCGGACTTAGAGCGAAGAATACCTCCCTTGTGTCAGTGAGCTTCGAGCGCTTTCCGTGTGCCCAAGCGCTTGTTGGAATTAAGCTTAATATGCGAAATTTATTTCTATAAAATCAGATTTTTAGCTAAATATTTGGATTTTTGCATATGTTATTTAAACGGAATTTCTTATAATATAAACATAAAAATCATAATACTTGAAATTAAAATAAAAAAATCAGACTAAGTTAAAAGGCAACATTAGTAGAAATGAACATATGCCAAAAAGTTTAATTATTTTTGCATAATAATGAAGTAAAAACATTGAAATTTTAAATATCAGTACTTAATGCATTTTAAATATCAAAAGTGTGTATACTTTTTAAATATACAAATTTTTTGTGCAATAAGTGCAATATAAAAATATAAAGCAGAAGAGCCAAAGAAAAGATAACACAAAAATACGAACACAAAACGGGAATGGAAAACAAGAAACAGGAAGAATGTTTCTGAACGATGCCGATTTAAAAATTAAATTTTATGCCAGATATTTGAAAACGAATTCCTCACTACATCGAGCGTAGCCATCACATTTATTAAAAATCAAACTTTTATGCAGGTAGAATCTGTGTCTTTTCCCTGAAATTCTGTTTATATTTTAAAATTATAATAATAATAAAACAAAAAAATAATTAAACATATATAGTCTGCTTCTTGTTGGTAGCATAAACTAAGTCGACTCTTAAAAGACGTAAGCGACTTTTAATACATAAATTTTAAGCCACTTGCACTGCGAAAACACGTTTCTAAATCACAAACATGCGTCGTTAGCGTCGAGCATTTAATTTTTATATAATAAAATGATAACTAATATTCATCCAAATAGTTCTAACACTATAGAGATTTTATTCAGCAAGTTTTCGTAGCATTCTAACATAATTTACGCGTATTTAAAGTTTAAAATAAAACATTCACTTTTAGCGTGTCATACATGATAACGGTGCATCGTCAGTGATACTTCGCTTTCGCATCACATTTGACGCGGTGGGCCAACGGTGGGAAACTGAGCTGTATCATATATGATACGCTGGGGGGGGGGGAAGCGGAGAGGTGGACTGTTCTTTATGATACCTGCATATATACGATTATCCTGATTTAATATGATTATAAATGATGTATTTATATATCACATACACCCATACAAATATGATATATAAATAAACAATGAAGTTGCAAATCGTAAAAATTGAGTTTATTTGTTGCTTTCAATTAACTTTATTTTTCCCCAGATTGCATCTCTTCATAGGAGGCAACGGTGGCTATCTATTAGGTGCTTCCATAATTAAATTTTCACCACTCCCGTTCCTTGTAGTGGCACAAGGCTAATGGCTATTAAATAATGCCCCCGGCAAAAAAGTACTAAAAAGACTGCACCCAATTCTATGCAAGTAAAACATTTAAATTAAATTAGTTTTCTTATATATAATAATTCATATATTTGAATGAAATCAAAGACTATTTTAAACTCAGAATGAAATACAGTAAAACGTTCGGATATCATATATTATTCACAAGTAACTTCATGACGCTGCAATATGTTACCTCAGATTTTTTTTAGAATGTAAGAAATGTTGAGTGGCGAGACCTAAAATCTGGAAATAGATGTAATCTAAACATTCTATCGCGCAGCCTTTTGTTTCAAAATTTTATGATCGATAAATGAGGATAATTTCTTTTGGTGCATGAAGAAATCAAGAGATTTTAGACCTCAGCTCAACAACTGCAAATAAGAATTAAATATCTAACATTAAAAAATTATGTTCAATATTTTAATGAATTTATAACATTTACTTTTCAAGAAAGCAAAAAGAAAATAACTCACCACATGCTCCTCGGTAGATGACAGTCAACAGAGTTTGACCTTGGCAGCCAATTTTCCTCATTTCACAGGCGTTGGGGTAAGTCTTGCCATCATCCGCGCAGACTGGCCGCATAACTGGTTCACAGCTCGGACGACACTGGCAAGTGGCAATTCCATACCTGTCAATATCACATTCTTGGCCTGGCCCACACTGCAGATTCTCACAAGGATTGGCACCTTGAGTTAACATGCGAAATGCTACAATACAGCTAGGATAATCCTTAGGATTAACGTTTTCTACATAGCATCTAACTACGGCATAGTATATATCACAGATTAACCTCAATAATACATCACACTCAAGATTGATTGAAAAGTTTAAAAGTAATTGATATTGAGGAGATTGGATCCTTATGAATTTTTCATAAAATTTAAAGTTGACCCTAATGAAAAAAGGTTTTAATTTAAACATATTTTAATTGTTTCTCTCAGTTATTCGCAAAATATCATAATTTTATACCTCTTATCGTTCATAAACTAAATGTAATTAAAATCATTCAAAGTTTAAAAAATATAACTACAACTTTTATCAGTAACCTAAGCAAGAGCGGCTGAATAGTCAAACTCATTCTTAAATTGTCAGTTTTTGTTAAGGTGCAACACCAAGCGAATGTATGATTCATCTCCTATAACGTTGAAATTATAACTGATATGTTATTTAAGTGACGTATTAAAGAGGTTTGACTGTATTCACTGTACTGAACCTATCATAAAGCATTACCAAATTGGTAAGTTACAAGTAGTTCAATGCACATATGAATTTGTAAGTTCTGCATATAAGAGTAATTAGTTTATTGGGAGCTTGAATATTAATGTTAAATTGTTTTGATAATGTTTCAGTGTACGGAATAAGACTTCTGCCTATCAATAAAGGTTTTGTCGCTTATTTTTAACTAAGTTATGCAAATTTTGCATTCTGTTAGTAATAAAATTAACACGCAGATTTAAAAGGAAACAAATTTTTGGGAGGTAAAATTAAAAACTCTTTTCAACTAATGTTCGAAATTTACCAATTATTTTGAAAAAAAAAGTGCTAATGAATGATATTTTGAATGAATCTAAACATAATAGGAAAATTCTATTTTATTTCCATATTTATATTAATTTCCCTCCTCTATGAAATTAACATTTTCTTAAAAGCTCTTTTTAAGGTCGCAGGTTAATTTTACGGCTTACATAGGAAGAACCTAATGGTTTTTAACCCACTTTAAACAGAAAAGTGAAATCAAGGACATAGTTTAGGCATTTCAAAATTTTGTTTCAAGAAGAGATATCTAACATTATTTTCAAGACAAAATAATTCTTTTCAGGTTTAAAATTGTATAATGATCCCATTTTTAAATAAAATTCAGTTTCCATAATTGTTTCATATTAGCATCTATTCACTAGATAAAGCGAACTGCCTCAGACAGTCTGTTATAAATATGTATTTTATTGAATATAGTTTTTAATATTTTTATTCACAATATTTCTGAAGTTAAAAACCTCACTTAAGATGATAAAACAAATAAAGATTCCATTATTAGCATTTTTGACTTCCATTATCTATGAAATTGTTTTGTTTTTTATATTGGTTCCATATTTTTATGTAACAAAGCTTTATTATCATAACATACATACACGTTTCATGTGTATTGAAGTTTACACTTTAATATAATGTAATGGTTTTTGTTTCGTGTTTTATTACAAAGTTTAAAATGCTCATTATTCCTGAAATTTATCAATTCTTTTCGGTAAATTTAATATTTCTTGATTTTATTTATTATTTTAAACTTGAAATATAACAATCTTTAACTTTATTTTCATTCACTGTATTTAATAAATTATCCTATCTTTAATATTTTCAAGACCAGAGACTCAAATTTATTATTTTAAATTTAAAAATGAAACGCGTTCTTAAGGTATTAAAATTCCCTTACACATTGTTTAGAAAGAGTAAAAATGCTATGATACAACAGAGACGGTTATATTTAACTGATGTGGCCAAGCACATATGTGTTACGTATTTGAAAAGAAAACTGTCGTGAAAAACATGTCAAAAGAAACTGGCACGTACTGCAGCTGCATACCAGAAAAATCATCAAATTCCATGGAGCTAAACCATTCATGAGGAACCCAGTATAAATACAAGTGTCCAACAGCCTCATTTACCTCACCCATTTGTGGATCAGTAATAAACAATCATGCAGACGGAAGGGAAGCATACCTCCATTTGTTATGTCGCGAATTTTACTTATTAATATGCGTTTTAAGTTATTATTATTCTAATATTTTTATTTGCATTCATGTGTATTTTAATCTGGAAAAAAGTATTCCTAAGCTCTTAAGGTTTTATTTAACTCGTTATTCTTGAGTAGGAATTGTAACAAAGGCGAGAGACGGTTGCAAGGAAACACATCTGGTTGATTGGTTTTATGGACTTTTTAATAATAATAGAGGTAGTAGGTTGCTGTGTTGTCGCCTTTTTAACTATTAGCGTTTGAAACGGAAATCATCTTCTTTTCGCTTTGTTATAGATGCAGTTTTGCTTACTTCAAGACAATGGGAGTGCACAAAGTTTACGTAATTGGAATCGTAAAGCTTAGTTTCGCTTGTTAGTTGGAGGGTCCATTTTTTTTTCTCCCGTTGTGTGTACAGATGTTTTTCGGATTGCATTGTCAGATTTTCTGGTGTTTGATTCGTCATGGGTGTGTCATTTTCTCAGTTTAGATAACGTAAAATTCCGGCATTGATGTGATTTTAATTTTATGATTTTTGAAAGCCTATGAACTCACAGAGGCGGAGAAACCGAGATTTCATGGGTGCTTGCACCAGGATAGAGTTCATTATTCCTGATTCTTTCAAGCTAAGAGTAAGAAGAGAAAAAGTGGCGGGGTTTGACCTTCGCGGGTCTTGCTCTCGCGAGCGGCGTATACTAGCGAGCAGCGGATATGATTTTCTCTCGGCTTTAAGCTGGCGAGAACTTGCGTTGGCATAAGGCGTAGAGCTCAGCATAGAATTCCGATTCTCTTGTTCCAAGAATTGAAATGCAGATTCTCGTCGTGATCATGATGTGGTGTTCCTGTTTTTCCCGACTTTGACTTCCTAATTAGATTCTGTTCTAAAGGTTCTCTACGTTTTTGGTGGGTTTCGAGGCTCCCATAAAGAAAGAGACTCGTGTAGGATCCGTCTAAGGTGTGCGATGCTGTTTATTCTGCCTGTGTCAGCTGCGTTGAATTTTTTCCATTCTTCCATGCTCTGGAATTTATTAATTGTAAGGACAGCTTCAGTGGTGTTTCAACCAAGACATCTTTAAAATTCGCACGATCTGTCTGTCTCCATTAACGATGATTTTATGAATAAAGGACAGCAGGAATAATGTGGTGCTCGAGTAAACTTGGGACGCTGGACGATCTGTGGAGCTGTCCAAATGATCTTATTAATCAGTTTACAAAGGTATTCCAGAGTAAAGGGAGTGCGGTATGGACTTCACCCCGTGAGTGATTTGTTTTTTTATTTGTTTTACTTTAATAATTATCTTTATACTCAAGCAAGAGTCGTCATTTTAATGCTTGTTGAAATTTGAGCAATTACTTAAATTAATTAATCGATGTGGAAATTATCAGTGTTCTTAAAGGGAATAAATACTTAAAGTTAAAAGATGAAATGGGAGAAATACTGGTGTTAATCTTATGATACAGTAGGATTTGATAATGTTAACCTTAAATTTTGTAAGCTGTAATTGCGTGTGACATTATGTGTTACTTTTCATAGTAAAAGTATGTGGTAGGATTACTGATCAGTTATCCATTATTTAGTCATATAATATTCTAGAAATTAATAAATGTTTTTGATATATATTTTATGTTTCATTTGTTTAATTTAGTGTATAATTTACTGTGGTCTGTTATGTCCCTCCATTTTTTTGAGCCGGGAGTCTTTTAAGAAACATGGAGTTTAATAGAATTTGGCGTTATTGCTATTTTATTTTGCATAGGTTACTCACAACACGAACCTAAATGTTAAATTGTACTACCACTATACGAATGTTTATACGATTGATAGATATGATATAAGATTGTTTATTTGATTGATCTATGAATATTATGAATTAGATTTGAATGTTATGAATAATGAATTATTTGATATTTTTAGTTAATTTGTCCGGCACCATAAGTTGAGTTAAGTTTAAAAAAGTATATAAAACAAAATTTTCATATATAACACATTCATTCTGATTTCATTAGACAAAATTACAATTTTCTAATTCATATTTTTTTTTTCTTGAAAAAGTAATAGCCAACCAACTGCCGGATAGATAAGGTAGTTAAAAATGTAGTTTATTCAATGTTTAAATCTCCGAGAATGGGTTTTGTGTGAGTGTGTGTACATAGTTTAACAAAGTATAACGTAAAAACAAAAAAGTTTCACAAGGAAGTTCCTCGAAGAAGGCATTTATTCTCTTAAGTGTATGAGGTCTCGTGTGTTTTGTCATATTCAAGAAAGAAAAAAAAAATACTTATTCTCAAATCCTGTTGGAGTGCACACATCATTTCTTTAAAACAAGTACAAACCTCTAAAAGAATTTGTTTGATTTTTAACAGTCTTTCATATTTCTCTCAGACATTGAATTTAGCATTCAAGAACAGCTAGAAGAGTAAATAATTGTTTAAAACAATTATACCGTTATTAGATTCTGTATATTTGGATGTTACCTTCACTTTAAAAAAAAGCATATAATTTTAGATTAATTTTAAGAATGAAATAAAACTATTGTTATAAATTTTTATATATACGTATGTACATAAATTTTGTGAAGTTATGTTTAAAATTATAGAATGTTTTGTATAATGTAACATGGAAATCTGAAGAATCGAAGCTTTACCGGAAAAATAAGATTGCAGGGCAACTATATTTAACATTGAAGTAAATGGCTATTTCGGCAAATTGCGAGATATCGCCAAGCTGGCGACTGTTTCGGCAATTAATTTTTATCGCCGCAACTATTTGCTGACATTTCAGTCCGGTCCCTGTATACCTCCTGTGGTTTTAAATGAATAACTGTAATTGATCTATATATAAATCTGTAACCACATCCGGCCCTTATATGTAACTTAAACCGTATATTCCTTTTATTAATTTCGAGAAATGGAAGTAAAAGATTTCTGGGTGGCCTGGAAAAACTATATAAGACCAGAGCGAGCATCAGCTCTCAGTTG